CGTCGAAAATCGATGAAGTTATTAAAAAAAATTGACCATAAAGATAAAATTAAGACGTAAATTAAGAATAGAGAGATATTATTAAAAAAAATTAATAAAGAAACACGGTTAAAACAAATAAAATAATTGACGATATTCTAATCCTTTAACTTTTTTAAAAGTGAAAGAAGATAGGAGTGTTGGCTTTTGATGTAGCTTAGATAAATTCTTTTCCTATGCTAAAATAAAGGTTTTAAGATGAAACACAAGAACTGTTGGCACGAAGTACAGTGGTAGTAAAAAAGTAAAGAACCCAAAAGATCCAGTCTAGACATTCCTCTCCTTAACAATCATAGCCCGATTAGGATAAAAAGAGCTTGGAATTTGGAAAAATATGCCTAAACAACGGATTTTAAACTCCTAAATTGTCCTTTAGACACCTTAACCTTTAAGAAAGTTGTGGACTTCTGACTAAGCATTCCGTCCATATCGCATGGATTCAAAACTCCTCCTGATTCAAAACTCCCCCTGAATCCCGAGTTATAGTCCTTTTAAATTAGAGTGCCCATTCTGCCTTACTCTCCACCTTTTTGGCTTCGTGCTAGTCTCCCTTTGTTCATAACAAGACGTTCGAAAAGTAAAACACTTTGAGGCATTAATTTCTTTCCCCCACTTCATTGGTTGATATAATGGGATTTTTAAGCTAAGTTGAAGCATTTGCATGTACCTCACTTGCTTTTGAAGTTAGAATGAGTTATTTTTTTTGTCATATTTGTACTGTGTACTGCCTCTCCTGATCTTTCTTTTTCTACCTGCATTCAACAATCCCATCATCATAAATGCAAATATATCTGTATTAATTTATTTCCTGACTCTTATGTAGATTTAAAAGAAGAAAGATTTGGGAATCAGTAAAGACTGATTATTCTTGAATAGAGATCCTGATCAGTTAATTGTTCATGTTTAGCACTACTAATTTACTTTCTGCTACTGCTACATGTTATTTTCATTGCCATTTTCCTTTCACTAAGAAAGAAAAGGGCATGTTTGTTTTTAGCTCCCTCCTTATTGAACCTACGAACTTCTAAAAAATGTTACGTTGCTTGTTTGACGCCACGTTAAATATATTTCAACTTTCTCTCATGCAACTTCATGCTTGCATTTATGGGCTGCTTGTTTCTTTTGTCATTGAGTGTGCAAAAATCTCTTCGGCACCTCAAAACTTGCCACTTTGTTAGTGTAATGCTTAATGGTTGTATGTATGTAGAATGTAGGATCAGATGCTTATTTCACTAGCCAGTTCCTCTAAAAGCACCGGCCTTACAAATAGTCACATAGTACTCACTATTCATCGATTATGTGTTCATTTACCAGCATACCCGACGATCAATAAGTGAAGCTAAATTGTAAGCCCTTAGTAGCATCTGAATTTAGTCTTCTGCATTTGTGGGTGGTGATGCCGTCTGCATACTTGATAGCGAGTTTGGCGTATCTTTTTCTTAAACTATTAGAGACTAGCAAGATTTGCTGATGTATTTAGAAATTCATTTTTTACTCAGATGTTTGATGATTAGTGATCCTGGGCTGTTGGTTTGGGTATGTTGTTGTTGTTGGTAGTTTTCGTTTTCTCGTGTATTGAGCGATGGATCGACTTTTTGGTTGCTTGGTATTCCTATGGTTGCGTAGATGAGAGCTGAGGAGTCTTGTTCTGCTGAGATGTTCTAGAGTTCAAAAAAGGCATCCTCTGCTAGTCTTTATTGTTGTAGGGAAATTATAGAATCTCAAGATTATTCTTGATGTGGCTGCAATGACACAATACCCCTAACAGCAACTAGCTTTCAGGTATCTTCAGTGATAGGATTGCAGTAATATCAAAGTGGTTAATTCTATAGGAGAGAATGCTTTCCCTTCTATGGACCTAATGAAGCTGTCAGACTGAGGGGCACGTCATATTGTACCTTTTATATTTGCTGTTTGAAATTTGATATACAAACCCATTATTGCAGGATGCTATCAATTCAGCAACACTCATTCAGACCTTAAGTGGACAGCTGGCTGATGAGCAATGCCAGCTCTTAGCTATAGTATCTGCAAGTGCAAACTTCAAGTGTAAAAACCATCAGCAAAGTTAGGCAATGGACCATTGCCTGGTTTGCATGAGATGACATGACTTTTGTTTTATTGCCATTTCTTTTTTGAAACGCATATCAAGTAGCTTCCTAGTTAAACAACAAGTGATGGTTTTGTTTTAATAAAATGATCAATCGTCAGTAGAAGTTTCAAAGCTTTTAGTTGCATCTGACTAGTAGATTTGCTTATATCAACCACCTAAGGCACCCCTAGATCCAACAAAGAACTGTCAAGGTTAATATCTTAGCAGAAGTATGAGAAAGCGTTCGTTGTAGCTTTAAACAGAAGTGATGTCTCAATAGTTTCCTGATTATGTTCTCAGGTATGCTCTCTCATTAGTTACCAGCAGAATTTACGAAAATTTTACTTTATTCTTTGATTTACTCAAAAGAAGGCTATCCATTCTGAAACTATGAAAATATTATTTCGTATGACAAAAACTATGTATGCAACAGAATGAGCATAAATTAGTGCAGGCTGTATTTGATGGTTGAGGATTACCAGGTCCAAGCCTGATAATTAATATCTAAGCCCTTTAATTTAGTGGCTCAGCCCAATAATAGGTTTTGAACGGACTGTTTCAGCACCTCTTAAAGAGTAGACAGTAGGCTCAGCCGCTGAACAGAGACACAACTTATCTAAAAAACAAAGAAAAAAAAAATCGTAATCGAGTAAACACAGTTCTTCTCTTACAAAACGATTTCGGTTTGAGCTGTTAACACCTGCTCTATATTTCGCTCGCCACCTCCTCTCTCTGCCTCTCGCTTCCATTTCAATAACCATTTCAGGACCTCTTCCTCCTTACATTATGACCCCTACTCTGTTAAGGTCCTGGATTGGTTTCCTTAACAAAGAGAGTGGTTTAGGAAGAAGAAATTAAGGAGAGTGGTTTAAGAAGAAGAAAGGAAATGGAGAGAATCTATTCAATTGATTACTCAATTCTGGTAAATTGTTACATGTGTAAAAACAAATTACACCTTCCACTTTGACTTGTAGTTCTCTCTAACTAATTGAACGTTAGTTAGTTAGCCACATCAGCATTTAGTTACCAACTACCACGATGAATTACAAGACTAGCAGAATGCACGTTGATTATAATATACTCTAAATCAGGCTTTGGCTTTCTTATATTCTGGTTTGACCTTCCAATTTTGGGTCATGGCAATGCACAGAGCCACTCTCTTCACAGTTTCATCGATATGGTCTTGGAAGAACTGGCTTCTTATCGCAAACGCAAACGCTTATACGTTTACTCTGCTATCAAGTTCCATCTCATTTCGACCTTTCTGTTTAATTATGTTATTAGTAATTGTTGTTACTTTTTTCTTTAATCGTGACCATGGATTACTAAGGCATGTTCCAAATGGATCCTGTTAACCGCAAAATGAGTTTAAACTTGCAGAGGCACTTGTCTGGAATTGGATTAGGTTTCTTATTATGCTGACCTGATATGCCTTTAATGATGAGATCATGCTTTTCTATGTTTGCCTTGTTTAACTGAAACCTAGTTCAATTTCATTCGTTTGAAAAGCTAGGTAGAAGAATGTATGCATAGGAAGCTTGCAAAGTAAGCAGCAGAGGAAGAACTTCAGAGTTTGTGCCTTCTAAGGCAATGCCTTCTAATGCGAAACCCCCAAATCCTCATGAATGGTTGAAGAGAAAATCCAATGCAAAATTGAGTCTTTTGAAGCATTTGCCATTGATGCATGCAAAAGCGAGGACCAAAAATGGTAATCTTTTTTAACTTCACCGAGTTTACTAGGCTGAACAAAATGAAACCTCAGCAAAATACTTTAGGCAGCATTAGTTTCATGAAAAGAGTGAAAGAAAACATCATACTTGTTTTTTTTTCTTAAGTATTTTTGAGTTTTTAAGTTCGGATATTTTCAGATTAATAATTTTATTTTTAAATCAAATACTATTGAGTGAGACTATTTCGGATCACATACTATAATTAAATATAAAAAAAAATTGAGGGATTGACTATTTGTTTCTCGTTATAATTAAAATTAACGTGAGATAAGGTTAGCGTTGTTGAAGAGGCGTCGATTTGGATTTGGACCTCGAGGTTAGTTTCATTGGAAGGACGTAATTGTAAAAAAGAACACGAGGCCCAACAAGAAAGAACGATAGACGGGTAACAGCATAATTATAAATTAATTGCACTGGTCATGACATTGTCGCAGAAGTAGTGTCCGGTAATAGAAATAAAAATATAAGAATGAGACGAGGCCGAAATAAGGGGGCCCAAACACAAAAGGTAGGTTTCCTCTTTCTAACTTTGAATGAACGAACCAACGAACGAATCTTCCTCGTCCACCTCACCTCACCTGCTGCTAATTGCTTCATTTTCACCTGAGACGAGACGAGGCGAGATGAGATGAGAGCACATGAGCTAGAGCCTAAACGAGGAGGACGATCTTACCGACATCATCATCATTCTACGGTAATTTCTTTCTTCTTCTTCTTCCGTTTTATTGGCATATATATAATTTTTTCTTATTCGAATCTAGTCCCCCAATCTAATCGGAAAGAGTAATAAAAAGAAATAATAACCCAAGAAATTGAATTAAATCGAATTTTTGCAGGCTGATCTGACCGTTTCCGATCTTGCTAGTGATTGAATCGATTGATGCCGTTTCTTTTTGTCAAAATTGGGTTATTATTGTTACCACCACCGTCGTCGTCGTCGTATCGCCTCCAGCTCATGTGAGAGTGTGAGATATCATTTTCTTTTCTTTTCTTTTCTTTGAGTTTTCATTAATTAATCAATCTTACGGACAAAAATTCATCAATCCAATCAAATCCAGTCAAAATTTGTTGGATGTTTATAGAGTTGTCATTAATTCCCTGTCTTGTTGCGTGTCTTTTTCATTACACAACGCAGAGAGATGCACCAGAGCAAGAGTGGAAACGCTGTGTCCAGGAATAATCCGGGTATTCATTCCAACGCTACTACTGCTGCTACCAGCAACAACAATAAATCTCAGCGGAGATTGAGCTTGTGCTCTCAAATAGCCACGCACTCGTCCCCAATTGTTTTCCCTGAGAAACAGAAACGCAGCAAGAAGCTCAAGGCTGCCTCTTCCAATTCCAAGAGGAGCACTGAGGTCATTGCTGATGATCCTTTTCCATTCGACCAACCCAAGATTGATGAGCACAGAATAGACATAGGTGGAGGAGCAGCTGCAGGAGGAGACGAAAACTCTGATTTGTTAGGCTATGTTGTCTTCTCTGGGAAACTGATTTTGGATAAGAGAAACACCTCTTCCTCTTCCTCCTATCATAGCAGTACTACTAAAGACCAAGCTGACGTCACCAAACGACAAGCCGTTGATGCTAAGCTTACAAGCAAAGCTTTAGTTTGGGGTTCTCATATGCTCCATCTTGAGCATGTAATCTCGGTAATATCCTCATTTCATTCTATTTCTTTTTTCTTCTTTTTTTTTGCACTGCACCCAAGAATTTACCATAGAACTCGAGCAATGATCCCCCCATATGCGGTTTTGACAGGTATCATACAATGCTGGTCTCAGACATTTTACGGTGCATTCTTATCCCATAAAAAGGAGTTCATGTGGGATGTCTTGCTTTATTAAACCTAAAAGAACTCGCAAAGACTACCGTTTCTTGGCTTCTAGTGTGGAAGAGGCCATTCAATGGGTTGGTGGATTTGCTGATCAGCAATGCTATATTAATTGTCTGCCTCATCCCTTGGCTTCATCGAAGAAGCAAGCTTCTTCTGAGTTACTTCCTACTGAACCCCCTCCTGAACTGCTTTTCAAGTGCAAGAGCCCTCCCAAAATGCTTGTCATATTAAATCCACGCTCAGGCCGCGGTCGTTCGACTAAAGTTTTCCATGGAATTGTGGAACCAATATTTAAGGTCCGTTCTTGGCTTTTGCTCTCAGCTTTCATGTAATTGCCAATGCATGATTGATGCACAAAACTCTACTTCCTCCATCTCAAAATGCCCATGACAACATGAATCGCCTCCCTAAATTGATGCAGCTTGTGTACTAAATATGCCATGGTTTTCTTATCCAACTTATTTCATATTTCTTCTCTGCTAAGACACGATCCTTTTCCTTTCCTTGCATTACATCAGCATGCTGAGAATGAATGCAGGCTTTGCCCTGGTATATATTGATGTCAATAATTTATATTCAAAGTTTAAACTGTGACAGCTTGCAGGGTTCAACTTGGAGGTAGTCAAAACAACATCTGCTGGCCATGCTAAAAGTCTTGCTTCTACTGTTGATATCAGCACTTGTCCTGATGGTATTATTACTCAATGCATTACCTTATAACATGTTGCATTTATGGTTTACTTATCCTTTTTTACAATCTCTGACATCTTTACCCTGGTAACTGCACATTCTTTCAGGAATTATATGTGTTGGTGGTGACGGAATTATTAATGAGGTTAGTCTTTTACCATGTCAGGGAATAACCATTTTTTATTTTTTGTTACCGAATGTTCAGATATGCATATAATTTAATGGTCACATCAGAGTACTATGCTTAACTGCATGGAGTTCATTGAACCAATGCCATGTTCTCCGTGCTCTTGGCTTGGATTTGACTTAATGACCTTAATAGTTACTTTTTACGATTTAGTAGTGAGTCACGAAGAATTTGATAAAAGAAACTAGATTTGTTTGAGTGGAAGAGTAAATAAGTTTGGATCTTTGTGATGGGAATGTGTTATTGAATACAATCAAGTTTGCATCCAATACTTGTTAACAGAGAAAGATTTACATTGTAGCATGGCAAATTTGTCCTGCATGAATACATGTCCAATACTTCTGGGAACAACTGTATCATGTGTGCTGTACATGAGGAAGCATACCTTTCCCAATGATACGTTGGGCCTTGGTTTAAATTTTTGAAGTTTTCAGGTTACTAGGTTGGGCCTGGGTTTTAGTTTTTTCATCTAAATCAGCTACATTTAAGAATTGAGGGCAATGCATAATGACAAATGTTGTAACATCTTGTTATATTTAACTTTGTAGACATGAATATTTGGTAAAGAGAAAAGGCCTGGTCTAGATCAGTTATTTTGTTGGACAATGGGATTGTTCACTGATAGATATCAATCGCCATCTAAGCATGCTGATGAAAATGCCTATAGCTGAGGAGCAGAGAAAATTTCTTAAATATTGGAAAGCAATAGCAAATGCTGTTGAAGTGAAGGGAACTTAGAACGCACAATTACACAGAACTCTTAAGATTTTTTGGGTATAAAGGAGAGGGGAATTTTGTATGAGGAGGATGATTTCGTTTATTTGAAATTCTGTACTATACTAATTGGTCCCTCACTAGCTTGACTTTTGCTGTTTATGCAGCCTTGCCAGGTTGCACCAAATTTCTGTCACTAATTTACCTAGTCATTGATTGGAGGATACACATTCATGGAGATCAGGTCTCCCTCCTTGGCTCCTCCCTTCATCTCTGTCATGCATTCACAGATGCATGCACTTTTGCAAGCACTGAAACCCCAAAATAATGCCCCCTGCTCTTTCTGAAAGCCTAACTTAAATGCTGGATTGATTTTGCAAGCAAATGTTTTACCACGTCCTTAGAATTACTTGTTGAAAAATATGATTGCTCTTATACGGATTATCCAGGTGGTGTTAAATGATAGCGTAATGACAATATCTGATGGCTTGCATGCATGCATCTTTGTATGTGTTCTTGTGGTATTCGCACTGAGAATCATTATACACATGATGACAGTCTATTTCTGTATGTTGAACAAGTTATTTGACCTTTGTAATCATGCAGGTTCTAAATGGTCTGCTAAGTAGAGATAATCAGAAAGAAGGAATATCCATACCAATTGGAATTATACCTGCTGGTTCAGACAATTCACTAATTTGGACTGTTCTAGGGGTTAGAGATCCAGTTTCTGCTGCCATATCTATTGTGAAGGTAATTTTTGTTTTTTTGCAAAAACTATGTGTAGAAAATCCTGTTTAGAAATGTTTTGATTAGTCTATCATAGATGAATGCTTTTTCTACTGAATTTCCTCAGTCACAATTGTGACTGTTTGACACGTATGATTTTTTAGTATGAAAGCCATTGATCGCTCGGGGGTGGGCCTAACTTGTGTGTGGTGTGGTTGGGGTGGGGGACACAGCACTAGCTGTTGCTTTTACTTGTTTCAGTTCTGGATAGATTCTGATTCTTTTGTCTGTTAATAAGTTGTAACAGTTTATTTAACAGTAACAATTATCATCATCCTACTGCTTGAGCTATTTGAGATGAATTATACCCAGAAAAAAAAAAAAGAAGAAGAGGAAACAAAGAAAAAGAAACAATTCCTTCTGGTGCCTATTGCCAGACCCTAATCTTCAGATTTAGATTTAAATCTCAATCAACTTTGCCCTAAGCTCAATATCACTTCCCTATTTCTTTGCCATTTTTAATTATTCACTTGTAATTTCAGCACTTTTGTATCATGGTACCTTCAGATATGCAGTAACAAACTCCTATGCATACTTGTATATAGTAGTCAATCCTCTTTTACCCAGGGAATTATGCAATTATATAACTATTTGTATCAGCAGCTAGCAAATTCATGCTACTGTTTCAGCGTTGGATCAGAAAGGATGTTTATCACTAGGGAACAGAGGACAGGGATGCATGGAAGTAGTAGGGCGAGTGTCAAGCATAGGTTTGACATTTGGGTACAGCAGCAATAGGGCTTCTGAAGGAGCTTAATTCTATACACAAGATTGTGGTGTGTTTTCTTGGACACTGCTGTGGTGTTGTGGGTCAACTTTAAAATAAAAATAAAATAAAAAGAAAAAAAGAAAAAAGGGAACAGAATGAATACTTGATACTGTCCTGAATCTTGGTTGCTCTTACTGCATTTTTCGTGCTTATGTATCAACATGTCTAAGCAAAGAAACATATGCTTTCTATCTCTTGAGACTCCTGTGCCCATCTATGAAATAGGAGAGTTCAACTGAATTATTCACACCGGACAAGGAACATTCTGTGGCATGCCATCCAGGGCAAGACATTGGGATTCAGTTCGCATGTGATTCAGATTAGTTACTGATGTCTATAGGAAAAATGAGTGGGAGTCAAATTCCTTTCAGCTTGATGTGCTTGAGATCATTTATTGAGAATTTTGCATATACTACTGGAATGTTATTTGGACTTTTGTCCTTGATTCTATGGTGAATTCATCCAAGTATTTTAACTAGAAGTCTACGCGTTGTTTCTCTGAAACTTGTGATTTGTGTAATTGATACATCGAAGCTGGTTTCTATATTATCTTTGTCAAATTAGAGTTTTCAAGTTGCAAGAGCATTACTTGTTTTGTCAGTGAAGCAAGCTGTAACTTTCCCTGCAAAAGCCTTTTCTGTGAAATCCTTTTGCACCTCAGAAACCAAGTTAAGAAATTGTGTTGCTTTTTCCAATCTCACCTTCAAACTTATTGACCGAAATGCTGCTGTTATCGGCACACTTGCATGCGAGTGTCTGCATAGGTGCATTAAGTCTGAAACTGTGATGTCTAATGAAGTTCTTTCCTATAATCTTCTATATTTGTGAAAATTTCACTTCATAGAATGCCTTTTGACTCACCATGGATGCATTATTGTTGCTTTCAGGGGGGTCTGACTGCTACGGATGTTTTTGCTGTCGAGTGGATACAGTCTGGTGTTATACATTTTGGAATGACAGTCTCATATTATGGCTTTGTCAGTGATGGTGAGTTCACAGTATTGCAATTAATTCTCGAACTATCACTGAAAATTTATAGGTTTAGCTTCTTATTGCCAGTGAAACCATATAATCGAACTTATGATCCTTAAATCAATGAACTGTGTATAACTATTTTTGGTACATATAAATGTTCCACCAAAACAAATGTTTATGTGAAGTAATTGATGTAGAAGAGTGAGGGAATTGACACTTCTGTTTCTTTTCCAAGATTTGTTAAAAAAATCTCTGTTCAATTCAGTTGGAAGAAGATTTGATGCAACAGATCATATATTCATGATTACTTTATAAAATCTAGGTTTGTAGCCTCCTATAGACTTTAAAAATATTCTTGTCGGTGTTTTTAAGTATTTTTTTCTTTCGTTCTTTTTATATCACTGTTGATGCTGCAGCCAAATAATCTTTTGAGCTTTATAATCTCAAACAAGATGAATAGATACTATTAGTCCTGATGTTACAACATGTGTACATCTATTTTTGTTGAAATGTCCATGAGCTTTGTTTTAATGTTTGTAGTAATAACAATACTGGTTAAGTGCTTTGATGTTTGAGACATATTTGGCACATGCTGTGGCCCTAAGGCCACACCATTCTAGCTATTAAACATCTTGATTTCTTATTGTGAGAGGATAAGTCAACAGCTAAGAAAATGCTATGGAAGTCTAGAATAACTTATGCCCATCATATATTAACTTTGAGATTATATTGGAACGTGCTTTTGCCGTAATCTGTTCAAATTTAGTGAATGGTATGAGCCAGTGGCTGATCTTTGTTTCTTTTTGCTAGTTGTTATATCTTTTAATATTTTGACCTTTACAGATTGTAGACAAAAAGTTTCTGTAAAAGCCACATGATGCTTGATATACTTTATGATTTCCAATACGCATAATACAAATCTTTATCACTCACTTGTACTTATTTCCCATGTGTAGTGTTGGAACTTTCTGAGAAATATCAGAAACGCTTTGGTCCATTGCGTTATTTTGTTGCTGGATTTCTCAAGTTCTTATGCTTGCCAAAGTACAGCTATGAAGTGGAATATCTTCCTGCATTAAAAGAGGATCGGGAAGGAAAACAGTCAGCCGAAAGAGTAGTAGTTGACATGTCAGACTTGTACACTGATGTGATGAGGAGATCTAACACAGATGGCATTCCCAGAGCCTCTAGTTTATCAAGTATCGACTCAATAATGACTCCAAGCCGAATGTCTGGAGGGGACTTGGGTGCAAACTGCAATAGCACTCATGCTAGCACCGAACCATCTGAGTACGTGCGTGGGTTAGATCCAAAAGCAAAACGCCTGTCATTAGGGAGGACAAATGTAACGTCAGAGCCAGAAGTTATTCATCCGCAGTTACCGCTGTCAACAACTCCAAACTGGCCAAGGACCAGGTCAAAGTCGAGGGCCGATAAAGGATGGACGGGATTGACTGTTACACATGATCCTTCTCGATGTTCTTGGGGAAATGCCACAACAAATGATAGAGAGGATATATCTTCAACATTATCTGATCCTGGTCCAATTTGGGATGCTGAACCAAAGTGGGACACTGAACCTAATTGGGATGTGGAAAATCCTATTGAATTGCCAGGGCCATCAGATGACATAGAATCCGGAATGAAAAAGGAAGTCATTCCTAGGTTTGAGGATAAATGGGAATTTAAAAAGGGACAATTTATTGGTATCATGGTTTGCAATCATGCTTGCAGAACTGTTCAGAGTTCTCAGGTGGTAGCACCAAGGGCTGAGCATGATGACAACACCATGGATATGGTTTTAGTTCATGGTAGTGGGCGACTGAGGCTACTGAGATTTTTCTTGCTATTGCAGATGGGTCAACATGTTTCTCTCCCATATGTTGAGTATATTAAGGTATGAGCATGTACACCTAATGATTCTTTTGCATTCATAAATTGAAGCAGCAAATTGAATCTAGGTAATTGCATTAAGCTGCATTATAATTGTCAATGATGTTAGTATGCACGACATCTTAATTGAATTCAAAGGGACTTTAGATGACTGAAAAACCTCTAGTTTGAATCTTATATTTAATGGTGGCTATGCTTCTCCATTGGTTTCCCTTATTGTTGGGTTCATCCAATGCTCTTACTTGAGATCCGGAAAATGTGTCATACTGTGCCCTGCTCATTAAGTTCACATTGTTTTTTTTTTCCTTTCTATAGGATCTGCCATTCAAGTTTTTCTTTTAAGGGCATGTTACCGAAACACTAAGCATCAAGTTGATTGATATTTTGGAACTATACCATACATGCAGTGCTCCGATGAATTTTGCTATTTTTTTTAACCAACATGAGAGTTTTATCAGAAGGATACTCGCCAATATTTGGTCTGATCATGTAGGTAATCCCGCTCAGAGATGCAGAGAGGTTATGAGTTTTTTGAAGCAATACTGAAATGCACCACATTGGGTTTTAGTAGGCAGCAAAGGTCATCATGAATGAATTAAGTTTTTCTTAACACCACCTAACCTTGAACTTCTGTAGGTAAAATCTGTGAAGATAAAAGCTGGGAAGCACACACACAATGGTTGTGGAATTGATGGTGAGCTTTTTCAACTTAATGGGCAGGTAATCTCTTCTTTGCTGCCAGAGCAGTGCAGACTCATTGGCCGGTCCCCAAGCCATCCCATGTAACAAGCAGGAGTTGTCTTTCTACATTTCCTTGAAAAGAAAGGGGAATTTACTCTCTTTGCGAGTTGTGGTTGTGATATATGCATATATCCTGGAACCGAAGAAAAAATTGTGGTCCTTTTCTTTCACCTTTTTTATTTTTTATTTTTATTTTTTTCATTTGAAGTCCCATCACCATTGAGCCATTTGAGATCCCTGTAAATTTTTTGTGCGGTTGTGTATTAGTTGCTGCTTGTTTATTTTATTGTCTTCTTTTAGTTTGCAATGCATGCTGCCCCCTTTCTGTTGTTGGCATGAGGTGCTTCTTGTATTGGAAAAACACCTTTCCTTTTCTTTTGTGATTATAACCGAAATTGTTTGTAAAGCATTTGGTTCTGTTTTTACTCTCATTTGTCAGATTGCTTCTGTACACGGTGCCTCTCTTCAGATCCAGAAAGGTTTTTTTTTCCCTCCTTCGTGGTAAGCAGGAAAAAGGCAAATTAAAACACCATTGTTAAGTGTTGGGAATTCTGAAAATTTAGACGGAGAACCTGTAATCAGCCGCTGAAGCAAAGATGCTGGTGCAAGGACGTCGATCACCGTCCATGCCCTTTTCGGGGTTTTCGGCTCACCATATTTAAATGTTGGAAATGGTGGTAGTATGTCGAATACAAGTTGGGCTGATTTTGTTAGGCCCGAGTTCGTGATAGGCTCGCTGACTGGTTAATGGGCCAAAACATGATGGCGTGAGCGTGAGCGTGCGCCCGCGCCCAAAGAGTCGAACAATAGTAAGAAATTGTTAAAAAAATCCGTAGCCTTTGAGCAGCATTTTGGAAATAGATTAGATAAGCCGGTGACGGGATGGGTTGATCATCGATGCTTGCTTGCCTGCTGTGAAATGAAATATCTAACGTGAAAACATTGTTTGTAGATAACAACGCATCACGTCTGTGCTGCTTGTTGTCCATAAAACATTGGAGGAGGACCAGCTTTAACTTCCACCTCTGGTTCTTGATTCCTCCCCAGTCCTCACCCACTAATGCCATGCCACGTTTACGTGGACAACCTCCTTTTCTATCTTTACGAACCAGCCAGCCAGCTACGTATTTTTTAGAAAATGAGTTTAGATAATGATTATAAAAAGAAAAAAAGAAAAGAAATAAAAAGAGTTTAGATGGTAATTATTATTATTATAACCACTGTGTTTATTAACAAAATTAATAAAATGGAAAGGATCAAACTCTATTTATTTTTATTTTAATTGAGTGATTCATAGAATAATTTCTTTTACGAACATGGTGACGACTGAGAGGAGGGCACAGTGAGAAATGGAATAAAAATAATTAACAACTTACTTCTTTACTATTGTTATTATTATTATTATAAAAAAGAAAAGAATTAATTAATGAATTCCAAAAGGTCAAAACTGTGAGGTAAGAAATAGCCATAGGAATTGAGGATGAAAAATAAATCAAAAAACAATATCTGACTGGATGTGTGTGGTACTCGTACTGCGGTACTGGTACTGGTTCTGGTAGAAATAGAATAGAAACAAGAAAAAGAAACTAAAATTGGCCATTTAGATCAAAAAAATAATAAAAGAAAAAAGAAAAGAGAAAAGAGAGCGATGAGCCCGAGTGTAGCGTTATCGTCGGCAGCAACCGCCGCAGTCTGTTCGGCGTTCCCTTGCGCGGATATCACCAAATTCAAATTCAATGCCTTAATTTCACCAAATCCAAGGCGTGACTGCTGCTCCTCGATTGCTGATGCTACTACTACTACCACAGCAACATCTACATCTTCGTCTGCAGCAGCAGCAAGTAGTATTAGTGGTAGACGAAGAAGAAAAACACCAGTTTCATGCTCCGTAGCTTTGGGATCCAACAATTCCGCAACCATGGTGACAGAAGATGAAGAAGAAAAAGCGAAGAAGATGATTGGAGCCAGGGTTAGGGTGAAGGCTCCGGTGAAGGTTTACCACGTGCCTCGCGTGGCGGAGGAATTGGATCTGTGTGGATTGGAAGGTGAGGTGAAGCAGTACGTGAGCCTGTGGAAGGGGAGGCGAATTTCCGCTAATCTTCCTTGCAAGGTTCAGTTTGTCCATTCAGGTGGAGTCAAGTTCTTCGCTCATCTCAGAGAGGATGAGTTGGAATTCCTTGATTGATTCACTCACTCACGCTCCTATCGTGTCCCATCGTATCATCATTTTCTTGCTTATTTGCTTCCTTTCCTATATATCAATCATCATCCAATGCAGGCTGGCAGGCAAATACCTATATCTCTCTCTTCCCTCTTCCTTTCATTTTCATAATCATAATAATAATAACATATGTCTGTTGTTGTTATAACATGAATGATGTGTATATACATATATTCTTCTTCAATCCAATCCAGTTTTACTTGTTAATAACTTCACTATCACCATCATCATTATCATTCCTCTTTCGTTCAATTTAACAATCATATTAACTGGAATTTCCTTTCTTTGCTTGTTTACTTGCTATTTCGATGAGTCATTTCTTCTTTAATTTTTGCGACTGAACTGCTACATCTGATCTATGCTGCCTAATTATATATATGTAATATATGCATTAAGACATCCGTCAACAACTTCTTGTAACTGAATTGGTCCTCTGTAAATATACTTGTTTCTCCTTTTTTTGTTTTTTAAATTCGAGTTATTCATTGCTAGTGCTGCTGTTTACAATCCTTTGCCGGCCATTTATTTTCTATCATGAGCTCTATACCTATATAATCATAGAGATCAGATGATAGGATGAAGCTCGCCCTAAAAACGACTATAGGCATCTGGAAATAATTGTTGTTGGGATGAATTCTAAGCTAGTACTTAGAATGATGTGCTCTTATGCTCCCAACTTATAGGGTTTGTTTGTCAGGAGGGCATTGAGCGAAGGATGGATGAGGAGGGAGGTATGAGAAGTCAAGGATGGGGTGTTCCTTTTGTTTGGCAAGGAGGATTAATTAGGACCCAAGAGTTTTTGGAAGGATCCCTTCTATCCATTCTCGTAATTCTTAATCCGGATTGGCTTTTATCCCTCTCTCTCTTGTTAGTCAAACAACTAGATGGATGAGTTAACATCCATCCTTTCCGTATTCAGCCTCTCTCAATTCATCCTTCCTGTACAGATACATAGGGTTGCTCTTCCTAGCAAAGCACTCATTGTTGGAGATGCATTTCAGGGTTTTGGTAGATGTGCTAGGGTTTCAGTCCACTTCATTTCTAGCTTCTCTTTGGACACTAGTTGCTAGTATTATTCCTCTTAACTAGTTTCTCTTGAGGTTGCTCCTCCTTGTAACTCGCCATCTAGTGGAATCTCAAAGTGCAATGTTGGTTGGTTATCTTTGGGAAATGATTGCAAAGAATTGACAGAATATAGGAAATGGTCAAGAGGTATAACCATTTTTTGAGGACCACAGAGTAGAAAGGAAAGTTTAGGAAATCATGGGATAGTGGTTCTCTTGCTCATTGTACAAATTTTGATGCTTTCATTGGTTGTCAATTTTATGACATGCAGCAAAAGTGACCATTGGACTTCTTTTACTGTCTTAGGGAGCAGTAGCTAACTTAAAATCAAGTGAATCCGATGGATAGCCATGCTCAACTAACTTTTCTCTGAATCACTGTCAATTGTCAATTGGTTGTAAGAGAATTGGTAGGTTTGAGAGAACAAACAATATGAAAATTTTGGGACTTGCTACATTGTCTGTATGGGTGGAGCAGAATTCTAGATTTTTAACCATCTTCTTCTGTTGAAACAACTTCTATAGGTAAGGATTGTTATATTCACTTTTTTTTTTTTTTTTTTTCTGGCTTGTTTATAGTGATATGCTTTCAGGGGCTTTTGCAGAATTTTCCTTTACAGATATTCAGATTTGATAAACCAGCCGAGTCCTGACCTGATATTGTGTAACATGAAAAAAAAATTGGGTCTGCGTCAAATTTTCAATAATAGATGCTCTGCATTAGAGCACAGGTAATGATGCATGGCTATAATATATGATTGCCTCTTTATTTTTTCCAGCTGAAACAAAAATACACATCCTATTCACTGTCCCATGATTGTATGCTTTGCGATAAGAAAGCCCATTACGATTTGTAATTTGCAGAAAATTTTAGATGATGTCAGTAATTTAGAATAACCTGTGTCAATTGTTAATTATAGCCACTACTACTGGAATTATATTAACATGAGATCATTGGCTGATGTTTAAAAAATTAGAGGTTGACTTCTGGAATCAACATTCACTACTTACTGCTGGATTGCGTTGTGATCAAGTTTGAGTATTGGAGTTTTATATTTAGGAGGAGCAAGTACAACCTACACTAATCAAGCAAATAATTACTAACATCAAATGATAGTTTCATAAGAGTACCAACTTCTATAGCCTGGTCCATATCTGAGGCTTAAAAACTTTGAGCTAATTCTATCATCTTCTAGTTACAATACGCAATTGTACAGATTAATAATCTATTTTTTTGTCATTTTCGGTTTATGTATTTGGGGGCTAGCTTTTTCATGCTTACTTTCTGCATTTTTAAACTTGAATTTTAAGATTTAAGATATATTTAATGAAGGTATTGAGGTTGGCCTCGTATTATCCAAATACAATAGCACACTCAAATCCAGTCACCCTGAGATTGAGCTTGATTCAGTGCTCCTTGAACTGTTAGAATCATCATTTGTGTCAGACTGACGCGACATCAAACTTGCCATATGCTGTTCTGATTCTATTATTGCATGTAATCAAATTTTATGTTTTGCTTTTTCTAGCATATGTGACAGTTTTCCATGAAAAGCTGGTTGCTGTTGTACAGCTCTAATTAAACTAAAGATCAATTAAATGTTTATACCGTGTACTTATTTTTGGATCTTTCTGTAGATCTCTGGCCTCTGCCCTGCAATTTCTGTCATCTTCATGCTTTGCCTTCTTCTTTGAATTGAAAAGCTTTGGCTAGAATATAGGTTTCTCAATGGAATGAGCTGTGGACTTATTTTCTTAAGCATAATTCTTATGGAGGCTGTTCATATGCTCTGGATTTGGTGTCAAAGCACCAGATATGTTTCAGAGCTCTGTTGCCAGTGGGTTACTACTTGCTAGTGATCCTACTACTACTACTTTCGTAGTGATTTGAAATTTCTAATATTTTGCTGGCATTTTTACTTTTAAGATCAGGAGCTTATTGAGGGCATGCAATCTGTCAGTTTGCTATACCATAATATTATGCTAACTTCGATAGTTACTTGGGTGTCTATGTAGTTGTTACTAGTCGGTTGCTAGTGCTACGCTGCTGGTTTGATAGAATAAACTCATTTTAAAATTTAAAAAAATTTTAATTATAATTTTTTATTTAATTAATTTTTTCTAATGCTTTTTATAAGTTCTTTTGCTTACAAAAACATAAATCATTCTTCTTTATGGATGGGAAAAAATCTTCTCATCAGAATTCATAAAAATTTAAAAATATATTTTTCATAATATTTGTATTTCAAAAAATAAAATTATAATTAATAAATAAAATTTTATAAAAACTAATAAATGGAAAAAAATTTCTTATTTAATGTTGATGAGAAGATTAATTATTGAAATTATCAACACAACGCTACGGTAGATATAATAAAATCATTTCAAAATTTTATAATTTTTTCATTAATTTTTTTTAATTATTATTTGTGTTTTTCATAAAATATTTTCTTAAAAAACATAATTTATTTTTCTTTATCTAGGTATTTCTAAATAAAAAACTTGTAATAAATAATTTAAATCTGAAATATTAATTAAGAATATAAAAAAAATGTTTTAAAAATATATTGCTTTATAAGAATATATCCAAAAAATAAAGTTACAATTAATGTATAGACTTGCATAAAAATTAATCAATGAAAAAATAAAATATTTTCATTTAATGTTAATGAGAAGATTATTTTTTTAAAATACATATATTTGATTTATATATATATATATATAATCGTCAGTTTGTATAGAAAAAAGTAACGATTGATTTTTAAAAATTTTAAAATCCAATTAAATAAAAAAACATAAATTGATGAAAAAACATTAAAGAAAAAAAGAAAAGAAAAGGTATGTAGTGTATCAGTTAGGGATTAAAATTTTTATTTTAAAATTTTAGGGATTAAAATGAAATAATTTGAAAATTACAAAAAAAAAAAAAACCTAAGAAAAAAAGTAAGAGTGAAAATTATAATTAAAAAAAATCAAAATGAAATAATTTGAAAATTACAAAAAAACCAAAGAAAAAAAGAAAAAAAAACTAAGAGTGAAAATTAAAAAAAAAAACACCTAAGAGTGAATAGTATATTGTGAGGGTAAAAAACAAAAGAGTGAATGATATAAAAACGGTTTAGGATAGTAAACTTTATTTAATTTTAATATAGTAAGAATAAAAATCAAACATAATAAAAATTTAATGATTAAAATAAAAACATATCACAAAATAGAATTAAAAAAACATAATTTTTTACTAAAATTCAAGAAAAAATATTTACACAGAATGAGCCTCTGACGGGGCCTTTGTTTCGTGCATCTGGCCAGGCCCACTGTATATGAAATCCAAAATAGCCTCGTACACAAAACAGAATATGCCGGTCAGTTTGAAAAAAAAAAAAGGAAAAAGAAAAGAAAAGAAGAACGCATATTCACACAGAGTAGGAGAGTAGCAGCAGCATGCGTACACACTTAAACCGGGTTGCTCTATTTGCACTTTCGATAGGTATTCAAAAAAGAATGAATTGATACATGCCAAGGTTACAATCTGTTTCCTACATATTGGTTGGGTAAATTCTCTTCCACCAATTACGACATTGATGACTCTGCAGCAACCGATGGCAGATGGAGAAACACCTCCGTTAGCTTTCAAGTTCCAGTAAATTAGATAGAATCAGCGGTTAATGCCTCCAATTAGCATGAATGTACATGGAGCTCTGGGGCCAAGCACCAAGCAAGGCAGAAAACTTGAAGTATTAGCTGACGTATGGCAAGCAGTTTTTAACTCCTACAAATGCACAAACTCTGCTCCTCCCAGAAAGAAATCAATCATAATCCAACCCATGTATGACTAAAATCAATCAGCAGTCGCCAATCTTTAGAACTTGGTGTTTGTTCATGATGCTTCTTGAAGAGCTA